AAGAGATATTTTCGAATTAGTCATGTCCTTATGCTAATAAGTAACTTGCAAAAAAGATTTTTCTTCAACTCGTCTGCAAAAAATCTCCAGCCAAATCTATTTCGACTTCATATGGATTCAATAAATTTAGTATAGTTTTAATTAGAATACACTCATTTTAATTTTAGTTTTATTACATATGAAAAGCTGCATGTATTTTAAAATTAAAAATTTTAAAAAATAGATCTAAATTGATCTAAAACTTAATGATATCCGATTCGACAAAAATTAGTTTTTTTTGTCGGTACTGTATATATGAATAAAATTCTTCTAATTCAAAGTTCTTTTTTATTTTTCAATCTAAATAGTTCATAGTCACAACGTGAATACTACACAATAAATTTTTCATCTTTTTCTCTTTTTTTTGATGAAAATTATTAGGAAATTCCTATTATTGAAACAAAACTTTACTAATATAACAAAACGAACCCTTAAAATGGCAACAACAGATTCTAATAATACTATGTCAATTAAAGAAAAATTTGAACCCATTGACATGCGTACAACGTATATTGGATATGGATACTACAGGCGTATATATAAACAAGGATGGACCTTATCCAAACGAAGTCGAATCACTCGAAGATATGGATTGGGAAAGAGATAAATGTTTGTCGCATAAACTAAAAGCAACTAGTTATGGTGATTGGCAATTTAACATTGGAATGATAAATATAAAATATTTTGAAAATAGAGAAAAATTAGATAATATATTTATAGGAAAAAGTGAACAAACTATTTCAAAAACATGCATAAATATTGAACGAATTTCTATTCAAAAAGCTGTTAAATTATTCAATATTGAATTTTTACGTAGTATGGATTGGTATTTGAATAATCAAAACGAAATGGAAATGGATTTTGATCGTAAAATTTTAAATTTGGATTTAAATAATGAATATTTGATGAAAAAATTAGAACAAGAGCTATTTTATAAGCAAATATGTAAATTATTTGAAGAAATTGAAGATGATCATAATAAGCCAGAAAATGATGATACAATTTATGAAAAATGTTTTATTCTAAAATATTTTCGTGTATTGTTTACGAATGAAAATTATATGTTTGCCACGGCTAAACGAGGAAATTATTATCTACTGTTTAGCTTTGTATATTAACTAAAAGGACTAAAACACGTATGCCTATATTAAAAAAAATTTACTTATCAAATAAATAAATATACTCTATCATATACAGGGATGAGGGTGGATACCCAGTCAAAATATTTTTCGATTTTGGATGAGTTTGAAAGGACAGGAATTTAAATGCGACTATAGCATTAAAAATAATGCGTCTTCTCGATAGCATCAACAGGTTGGCCACTTTTAAATTAAATTGTAATCAAAATGGGTTATTTTTCATTCATCAGTTACGATGTTTTAGAAAGCCTATATTTGCGGTTGATCGTGTTTTTTATGCCTGCAGTTGATGTCGCATTATTGTCTGTTCTAGCTCCTCAAATCATTCTCACTTCATTAATAATAATGTAGTTGATAACAAATAGGATACTAAGGAATTAGTTTTTCATTTAAGGTATACGTTAACAACAAATTTCAATTTACTTTATTGATGTTTAAAAATACATATTCAAGAAAACAGAAATAATGGCTATAAAGCTCTATTAAGAAATAAATCAAAATATGAGGATCTTGGTTTAATTTATGATGAGCAATAATAAAACAGATAGTGGATTTGATAGATTGATGGAATTTTGAAAACATAAAAAATGGGTATTTTAGAAATGAAAGAAACAGATTATTTGGGGTAACTACCTTAGAAGCCTTTGAATTCATGAATAAAAATTTAATTTAATTTTTATGAAATCGCATTTCTGATTTATCAAACATTTTTAATTACGATGGAATTGAATAATAAATCCTGTTAACAAAATAACTTTCTACTTTAAAATTTGATAAATTGGAAAAGTATTTTTTATAGTAGTGTTAGGGATTCCCCAGGTAAAATCACAGACTGATAGCTCAATCTGACAACAGATACAAATTTGTTCCTAGGTTAAGTGTATATGTTTGTTGTCGGACTCTGGTGATAAATTGATTAGCAGACTACGTGCTAAATATTGATAAAAAATGTCTAGAACAATGTTCTTATTTAAATAATTAAATTTACTGTCACAAAGTACCACTAGGCTTAGGTCTAAAAATTAGAAGTTGAACAGTACATCTAATCAATAGTTATGTAATGTTCCAAAGTTATTTTATAGTCACGAATTAATAAATCATTAAATTCTTGTATTTCATTTATATTCGGTGCTGGTAGTTTTCATCCAAGATTCTATAGTTCGTGCTGCAGTTTTAAGATATTTACCAAAAATCAATAATGTTTTTTGCAAACATACTAATAAATTTTTTTACATCTATACTATCGCGTACAGCATCTAGAAAAATTCAATTTTATTCAAAACTGTGACTATCTTCTTCGATTAAGAAAAATTACTATTGAGGTTTAGATTTATTATGCTTAACACCAAAAGTTTTCTGATCTTTTCTTACTGAGCAACAACTTCAATGCACCCGCTTTATACAATATATCCTTTCGCTTAAAACAATCTCATTGACTTTTTAGCCAAACCTTATCAAGCAACTAATTTCACTCACTTTTGAATGGACCATACTTTGTCAACTTGTCATTTAAATTTGTCATTGAAAAACATTGAAGTTTATATCTAATACTTGTGCTTCTTCATAACTGGAAGATTTTTGATCCCTGGATGAACGCGGTGAAGGACCAAATAAAATTAATGCTTGTTTAAACAACAAATCATCAAAGTATTGATCAGCTTTTTTTGCTGATTATAGTGAAATCGATAGCGGGATCATGATGGGATTTAGAAAAATGTTAGCGCAAAATCGACTTTTTATACGGAGAACAGGATCTGTTCAAATTTTTTTCTGAAGAGCTTATTATATGAATTGACGGTCAGCAAAGTACCTCTTGATTCAAATCACTTTTCGCATTTTCGCTCTAATAGTAGCGCGTTTTAAGTGGCGCCACTTATTCGCGCCAAAATGCGAAAAGTGATTTGAATCAAGAGGTACTTTGCTGACCGTCGATTCATATAATAAGCTCTTCAGAAAAAAATTTGAACAGATTCTGTTCTCCGTATAAAAAGTCGATTTTGCGCTAATGATACTTCGTATGGGTCGGAACACTATCGGAACCACTCGCATTTTGACGTTGGTTCTTGCTCTTATCGCAGTTATTAGAATCTTTGAACTATCATAAAAATGTTCTTGCTATCAAAAGTTAACCGGTTTCCACTCATACTTATCTTCAACTGCAAAGAAAATTTGGTTAACTTTTTATGTCTTTGCATTAATAGAGTGTGTGCAGAAAAGTGGAGTATCGCTGTTTTTCTATTCTCTAAACTATTCGGGCTTACGAGGAACCTTCTCACATATAACCCTTTTTAATATATGAGTAGGATGTTCTGACTCCGACATACATGAATCTTATATTAGATTCTCAGACATCTTAGTGCGTAGAGAAAAAAGATGTGTTTATTTGATCACAGTTATATGTAGTGAAGTGTCTATATCTCAAAAACTCGAAAAATTTTGAAATTGGTTTCCACCACTATACTCAGCATATTATTTTCTAAAAAAGGAGGACCGAATCCTCACGAAGATAATTATGTAATGAACTAACCTACTAATACGTATGAGAACTGAGACGACTTAATGAAATTGTTATAAATTTTTGTGGACAAAACCAAAATGGCAGAAACGTCCATGGTTTCCAAACTTTTGATGAGAGGCGTTTTACGCAATATATAATCTCTCCCGAAACATACTTTTTCATTATTATCCTTTAATTATGACCATGAACAAATTCAACACGGTGATTGACAAGTAATAAGAACTATTTAACTAAACGATATTCATGTGTAATCTAAAATATTTTTCTTGCCCGTCTAACGTTTGAAAGTTCTCATGACTTGTTAGTACATTCTTCTTAAGACGCAGACACGAAAGAAATGGTAACAAAAACAAGACGACGACCAAGCGGCTATCTGACTGCGAAAAATACTGGTTTGTATAACTATGAAAAAAGATGATGAAACCACAAGAAGAATGGTTCAGCCAAAATACACAAATTATGACTAAACTGGAAAGAAAGAGAGCAGAATGACCTAACACTAACTTTTAGGATATCCTTTGTTTAAACGCCTAATTTTCTACCACATATCTAATTAGTATTTCTGGATTTTTGCTAGTAGAACATAATATGATTAAAACAAGAACAACAAAGAGAGTATTACTATGTATTCTTTGTCAGAATGTAATCCCTAATTGTGGTCCATTATGTCGTGGTTGTAGCACTCTGCGTCGTGATGACCAATTTTTGAGAGTTTTAGAAACACTACAAAAAATTGCGAAGAACGGATTCTCTGATGATCAAATTGATATTGGTATATATGATCAATACAAATTGCTCGAGTAAGTCATTTGTTTATCTATAATAAATTTTTGGATCATTTTAACCATTAAACCACTTTAGACAATTAGTGTATTTGTATGAATCTTTGAATTATTCACCCATCGAATTGATTATAGGAACATCGGCCGATGATATCGATGCAGTGGCAAATGATTATAAAATAAAATATACAAACGCTGACATAGTAAGTCGCTCAGTCTCCAGGAACTTTCATCATTCATTGAGATAAAAAGCAGCTGTCTTAAAGTTGTAGTAGGTTTTGAAGTTAAACAAACGATATTACTTTTTCGTTACTATATGCGTTTTAGTTCGATCGTTTTAAATATACTCTTAATTGAGTTTTCACAAGTGAATATTTTTGTGATGTGTATCTTGGAAAAATCCACAATATTATTCGCTTTCATGAAATTTCAAAAACTTTTTGCGTGCCTCTCAAACTATCTATCTGTTAAGTTCTCCAGGATCTAATTTTTCTACAGTTTATAAAACATTTTCTCTCTTCAAGCATCAAGATATTTCTTCTGTGACGAAAAACACAAAAAATCCGATCTATAAAACGATGTTTTACTTTATGTGAAATATTTCGAAAGAGAACAAAACCATTGAAAGAACTTACAAAAAGGAAAAAAATGAAGTTGCCTATGATTTTATTCTTCGTCGTTTCCATTTCTCTGATTAAATAAAAGAAATGAAGAGCTGTATTTCCAAAAAAAGGTTTTGTTGGCATCCTTGACTTTTTGCAATAACGTACTATCACAATTGTTCTGTTGAAATGTTTTTGTGATTTCCTTTTCTCCTATATTTATTCAGCAAAAGTGGTACCTCTAATAACCAGGAAAATTTTAGTTAGAAACGTTTTTTCTAAATGCAATCATAAACAAACTAAAAAATTTCACACAATAGCTGAGCGAGGAATGTTTCGACCAATATTCCCATTCCATATGAAAAAGTATTTTATAATAATCGACTCTCATGAATATCTGATGCTTCCTTAGATATATCGATATCATATCAGACATATTTCATATGAAGCTGAGAATTATAGATACTTTATTGAAACATGTGAAATATGAAGCTTTCACTGTTCCACCTCAAAGAAACAACAACGTGAAATTACGTTAAAACTTCTAAAACAACATTCAAAGGAAACCAAAGTACGAGGCAGAAGCTTCGTTGTGATCACAGAAGAAAAAATGCAAATAAAATGCTTATAAGTTATACTTAATGAGAGATTCTGTCAATTTCAGACTTACATTAGATTTCCAATAGAAAAAGAAAAAATTGTTACAATTGGTCCCATATCGGGTGATAAGCATGATATCTTCGTGTCAAACTTACGGTTAGAAAAATTCATATGAAATCAGCAGAAAACACAAAGCATAATGGGTCTGATACAAAATTTTTAACGTATTTTGAAGCAAGTGATCCAAATAATCCATTAGAAGTTAAACGTCTATGTAAAGAATAGGCGCAAACTTATCTTAATTTATTCGGTAAAAGATCAAGTAAGATAGTTTTTCGCTAATAAAATAAACAGTTTTTAAAGAGAGGTACAATTAAATAATATGAAAACGGATGAATTACTCTTTACTGCGTAGAAAACTCTGAACTTGACCTTGATTAAAAATACAATATTCATTCTAAAGAGTAGAATTTAAAT